GATTCCGGAGCCCGGTACAGGTCTAAAATAACATATAGGACTTGCCCGCAAAATTTGGTGTCAATCCGAGTAGTTTAAGCACGTTTCGGCACGTTAGAAGTGAATTAAGAACTTGAAGTTCATAAGTTTGAATAAATTGGTTTTAGAGGGGTGATTCTTACATTTAGCGTTGTTTCGGGCGTTCCAAAGGTTTGAGCGAGTCCGTTTCATGATTTCAAACCTGTCGGTATGTTCGGGCGGGGCCTAGGAGCCCCAAGCATCAATCGGACGAGGCTCGAGTGAAGTTGGAAAATTTGAGAAGAGCTGAAGCTTCATGTTGCTGTCATAACTGCACCTGCGGTTGGTCAGCCGCAGGTGCGAGACCGCAGAAGCGGTAGCTCCCTCGCAGATGCGGCCAAGGCAGGCCCAGTCAAAGCCGCAGAAGCGCCTGCGCAGAAGCGGCTTCAGGACCGCAGAAGCGGTCCCAGCTCGCTTGGCTAATTCTGCAGATGCGGCCTTTCTCTCGCAGAAGCGGGACCGCAGATGCGGTCCCCTGACGGCAGATGCGGTCCCCTGACTGCAGATGCGGAAATCACTGAAGCAGTGAGCTTCATTTAATAAGGGCTCTAAGTCATTTTGGCTATTTTTCACTCACCATTGGGCGATTTTGGGGGCTTTTGAGAGAGGATTTCCATATAGCATCTTGAGGTAAGTTCATCCTCCTTATTTCTAAGTTTAATACTTGAGTTTTGGGTAGATTAACACACCAAGATTAGGAGAAATCAAGGGGTTAGAGCAAAACCTAGGGTTTTGATGAAACTTAGATTTTACCATGAAATTTGTTATGGAATGGAGTAGAAATCATATATTATTGATCCTCGGGTTATAGAGAACAACTCCTTCAAAAAATTTCGGAATCCGGGCACGTGGGCCCGGGGTTGGATTTTAGGAAAACTTGTGTTAAGGGTTGGGGAATTACTTTAGTAATTAAAATGCGTACTCTTGAGCTTGTATTGACTAGTTTTCACTTCGTTTAATTAGTTTCGGATCGTGCGGTTCCAAATTGAGCGTTTGAGCACGTTCTTGATATTGGAAGTAAGCTTTGGAGCGAGGTGAGTCTCCTATCTAACCTTATAAGAGGGAATTGTCCCAATAGGTGTAATAATTGAATAATTTGCCACTAAATGCGGGGGCTACGTACGTACTAGGTGACGAGAGTCCGTGCGTAGCTACTATTATGCTTAAGTTCGGGTAGTTTAGGACCCAAAAGCATGCTCTATGTGATATTCTTGTGACTCTATGATTAATTTGGGGATCTCTTAAATCATGTTGAATGTGGTAGATGACTCTTATAAGAAGAACATCTTTTATTGGCCTTCAAAAGAGAAATTTGATATTTTCGTGAGTAATTGCTCTCCTGATATATATTCTTGTCTATCTGTTGTTGTGTTTAAATACGTTTGACCGCGTCGCATGGATGATTCGTGAGCGGGGTAATAGATGCATCTATGGTTCGCGCCGTTCGACCCTCCGACAGTGCACACATTATCTTTATGACTGGATCGGGCCGTACGACCTCGGCACTACTTGCGCATGCTTATTGATTGGTATATTGTTGTGGACGGAACTATGTTATAGGCCCTGAAATGTAAATGGTTAACGGTGATATCATCTAGTAAAGGACCAGTTGCCTCATGCTGTATATCGTAATTCTTTGTGCTATCCATGCTTAGTATATCACTTATTATATTATTTGACCCGAGTAAGTGTCATGTCGACTTCTCATCTCTACTTCTTCGAGATTAGACAGGATACTTACTGGGTACATATTGTTTATGTACTCATACTACACTTCTGTACTTAATTGTACAGGATCTGAGGCAGGTACATTTGGTTACCAGGCTGGTGCATACCCTTGATTCGGCAGAGATTCCACGGTCAGCTGCCCCCTTTCCATGCCGTTCAGCAGCCCGATGGAGTCTTTTCTTTACTTTTGGCTGTCTACTTCATTTCAGACAGTAGGATTGTGTTATTCTTTTGTATATTCTACTAGCTGCCCACGCACTTGTGACACCAGGTCTTGGCACACACATTAGTAGACATTTCCTTTGGGAATTGTATAATTATTTTGGTATATAACTAATTATCACTCGTTTTAACTTCAAGTTTAGAAACTGTAGTACTTATTATGGCAAAGTAAAATGGACACTTATTGATTTCTCCGCGTTGGCTTACCTGACAATTGTGTTGGGCGCCATCACGACCTATAATGGAAATTGGGTCGTGACAGATTCGTTGAATTGATTTCTGTTACAAGAAACACATGAAAAGTCTGATTATATTTAGCGTTTTAGAAAGAGCATTCTTATGATATTTTCTGTTTAATATACTAGCATGTTTCTGACTTGTCCCCAATGAAAATTAGTTGTGGTTAAGTGTTATTACTCACTAAGCTAGTGACTCACTCCACGCTATTTTCTTTTCAGAGATAGCAGTTGACGCAGGCGAGGATTTCGTTAATTAGAGCGCACAGGTTGACAGTCCTTGGTGAGCCCCGTAATTGTTCGCGCGGGCAAGGAGTTTTAATTAATTGTCATGGTCTTTGCTTTGAACTCTTAGAGTTGCTCCATAGTTATTCTTTCAGTTTCATGAGTATTCTTTCATTATTATAGACTTATGTTGAGTACTGCACTTTCTTATCGAGGTTGGAGATAAATTAATATTTCTAGCTGTTAATGGGTGAATTGTTAATGGTAGAGATTTATTTTGGTTAATTGATAAGGTTATTGTTGTTTGGATTGATATTGGGATGTTTGATTATTGATTTTGAGACAGAAAGTTTTTGGGACAGTCCAAAAATAGGGGAAACTCTATCTGTTTTTCTGTAAAATACCGATAAGGCTTACTTGGGAGCACTTGCTCCTAAGCGTCGGTCACGATCCTAAATTGAATCGTAACAGTGGATAATTATTTTTTTTTAATCATTTTGCCACCGCTAGGTTAAACTCATAAACTACACTGTACAACAAATGAGGTAGAATACGTGTCGGATACAAGTGTAAGATGCATCATGCATTTTTAAAATTTCAAAAGGAAATAGCAACATCAGAAAAATAGCAGTATGTAGAAAAACCAAAAGGCAACATGATTCAGTCAGACCTGGCTGCTCGTACTTTGAAACGTGTACAATGAAGCACTGGACCAACAGATAACATAACAGAGATGATTAAATATAAGTGCTCATTTCCTGACTTCTCTGTGTACCCGGCCTACAAAATTCTTCATTATGTTGACATGGTCTTCTAAAAAAAATTGACAGTTATATATATATATATATATACATATATATATATATATATATATATATATATATATATATATAAGAGAAAGATCAAAATTTGTGCAAATAGCTAACTTTTGTTATTTGTATACTTTTGGTTCATTTCATACTCCTATTGTTTGCAATCGTCTCATATTTGTCCTGACAAAGCCGCATGGTTATAAGGGTGGTCAACTGAGCACCCTTCGTCGAAAAATTGCACTATGTGTATAAGTAAAATATTACGTTTTAGAGATATATAACACATATTGAACACCCTTTGTTGTAAATTTTTTTTTATTTTATTAAATTATGAACACCCAAAAATTCCTAGCTTCGCCGCTATTTATTCTTGTCACACAAACGGTATTCTAGCGCGAAATGGGTGAACATTTGATATCCAAATTCTTCACAAAAAAAAAATAATTCAGATTTACTCATCAGCTTTAAAACTTTTAAAACTATGGTTTGAAATTACCTTCAAATTGTTGCTCATCCAAGGATAAATTTGCTCAATTTAAACAAACCAACATGACAATATTTGCTTTATGCTTCGTCACTATTCCAACATTATTCATTAAGATATTAATTAAGTTTGGCATATGATATACAGTCAATAAGAAAACGTGAAGTAACAGCTAAAATAAGAGGAAACGACATAAATCATGAATATAGCCAAGAAAAAGTTAGTGCTGTCACATGTGCTGTGCTACTCCAACTCCCAATACAACCTGCTAAAATATCGAATCTCTAGCTCCCATCGCCACGGAGCTTCTACCTTTTTTTCCTTTTCATTTTTCTTTTACATTTTCTTCTTGTCAAGATGAACGCAATTGAATCTAGTCCATAAACAATTTGGTTAAAATGTACTAGCATTTTTTCATTAGAATGAAATGATTTGCAACAGATCATAAAAATACAAAGCTGTATTATTCAGTTTTCATAAAGATACCATCGTTTTCATAAAGATTCCATCAAATGATCTGGTGTCGTGGATGGGATTGCCCTTCCGTTAATCAGAGTTCTCGAGTTCGAGCCCTAAAAATAAAAAGATTCTGGGTAGGGAGCGCTTCCCCCGAATGAGACCTTACGCGGCGTGAATCCGGATATAATTGGGCTCCAATGCGAGTACCAGATATCGGATGGAAAACCAAAAAAAAAGTTTTCACAAAGATTCGTTTTGGTTTTCCATGGTCGATACTCGCTTTATAGTAAGCGTGTATTTCACAAGTGATATTGTCCGCTTTGAGATCAAGCCTACATAGCTTTAAAACATGTTAATAGGATTGTTTAGTTATATATCTTGCATCTCTCATATTTTGTCAGACGTGAGATTCGCGTAACGTTTCACAGATATGATGCAAAAATGGAGGATTCCCGAAAGTTCTAGAATACAATGAAAAGGGCAATACGCATTTGATTTCCGTATTACTTACCAGTTCACGAGAAGCATTAAGAATCAGAATAAAAGCAAATTCAATAAGAAAATTTTCTAAAAAACATTAGGAGCTAGAAATAATGGAATCATTTAATAGGAATTAAATTTGCAGTGAATACGAAAAATCAAAATTCATACAGATGAAAGCCATTGTCTCTTCGGGGAGATTCATAAAGTTGAAACGATACAGAGAACATTAACACTATAACCCAGAAATCGAGAAATGCCAAATTTATTTTATTAATAAAAAATCAACAAAATAAATTAAAGATGAAAACTATTTCTTCAAAAATTTTAACATTTCTTCATGCTGTCAAATACACCATTAAACAAGCAAATCTCAGAGAAACAACAACCATTTTTTTTGTTCAATAGAGTAATAAAAAAACAGCAATTATTCCCCTCAAAATAAAAAAAGAAAACAAATAAAAAATTTATTAATTAAACCTTAAAGAAAACGAGATCATCTTCACCATCTTCATTAACCGGAAGCAAATTCCTTTTCCCGTTCCCAATATCAGCCACAGCCGCCACAGCAGGTGAAGAACACGGCGATGAATGGCCGGAACCCGCCGCTGCTGCCGCCGCAACCAGTGACAAACATCCTTCACTCCACGACCGGCGAATCGGATACGAAACATTCAGTCCCCGCGACGAATGAGAGCAATTTCCTCTCGATTTATGCAGCGCACAACTACAATTCCGGTGATACGGCCGCTTCGAAATTTCCATATCGTGACCGGAAATTGATCCCTCGAATACTCCCCGGAATATTCCATCACCGGCAGCTCCGGTAGCCATTTTAACAAATTAAATTAGACCACCTTACTTTTAATATAAGCTCGTACGAGCTGGGTGGTGGCAATGGCAAAAGAGATTGAATGAATTGAAAGGAAGATAAATAGTGAGAACAGAAAAAGAGGACAAAAAGAGAGAGAACGTGTAAGGGGGTGGAGTACGTGGATGGGTGGGTGGAATGCCGGGGGGGGGGGGGGGGGGGGAAGCGGCAAAAGCGGCACCATCGAGGTGTTGAACCATGCAACTATTTTAACGTGGTACTTAGCCGTGGCTTGTGGGTAGTTTGTTACTTTGATAAATACATAGTATTTGTTTATAAATTTTATCCATATTTTAATAAATTCTTAAATCTCAAAATCTTTTGGCCCAAAATTTTACTATTACATTTTTAAAAATTGTCCAAACTTTTGTATTTTATAAAAGAACCCACCATTTATTATTTTGTAACAATGTTGTTTCGTCTTCTCGGTCATATGATAGTGTATTATGTAGTTCATTATAACAATAATAATTTTGTACCAAATTTATTTATGTTCAGAACTATGGTTTGTGATAATGATAATGAATGTTATTGATGAAGGTATTGTTGGGTATTTGTGATAGTTTTTAAAACTTGTGGGTATAAGTCATGTTTCATATTTTTTCAAAAGAAAAAAAGTGAAACATATTTTGAAAACATATGTCCAAACACATTTTTATCTTCAAACCAAATTTCACCCAAAATTAAATTTTTCAAAATAAATTTGAAAATGGCCAAATGCTAACTAAGAAAAAAGACTGATAATTTCATGAATATTTCTATAATCAAGTAACATAAAAATTAATTATAAGTATCTACACTAATATGGTTATTGTGACACCATGACAAAGAGTGGGTTGATGAGGAATAATTAAGGAGAATTAGGGACAGACTTTAGGCTGATAGCTTCCGAAAAAGGGTATATATCGACATCTTGAGAAATCCTAAAAAGTTAGAGTTATATAGAAGGTAGAACATAAGTTCATATGGTACACGATAATTTTGGCTCGGCTGCTGGAGCTTTAGGGACAAATTCGTAATGTTTCGTGGGTGATGATGAATAATACGTGTCATGAGCTTCAGTTGTGACAAATACAATAGTAAAGATGGATTTGACGCATATAACGGTGGGTGTGATTAGAGCAAATCAAAGAGAAGAATAAGAGACTTTTAGGTTAGCAAACTTTCAAACAAGAAATGCATAGACACCTTAAGCAATCTCACATCAGAAAGGGAGATGATCGTGAAGCGACATATATAAGGCAAATCATAAGTTAAGATGATATATGCTATTTTAGGCTCGATATGGCGTAACCAAGGAATGAATCCATAATATCTCCTTAATCAAAACGTATAATAAAACATCATGTATCTCCAAATTATTGAGTCTTTTTCCTTTAACAACATCACATGCTACTCAATATGGAACATGCATTGTTAACAATGCCACACATTACAAAAATAAAAATTATTGATTACATTTCTAGTGGGTAGATTCTTAGAATTTTGTTGCTATTTGTAAAATGGGAGGGCATCAAGTTGAAGAATGTAGACAGGTATAAAACTTCTCAACATAATTATAAGCATTGATTATGACTATAGATCTATGGAGATGTATAAACATTTAGAGGGTTATTTATTATAATAGTGTAATTTCCACATTTTTTTCCAATTTAACTTTCTAAACTTACTGTAAAAATATAATAAGACATGTCTAGAAAACAAAGATGATGCCCCTATCACCGACCAACAATGAGGAAATATAATTAATGGTAGGAAAAATGCACCTAAATTCATGGCCGACACAATGCATCCCAGAAGAGAAACACGCATTGGACACTCGTGGAAGTAACATCTTTCTATTTTAGGCAAAGATTCAAGTAACTTAGACATCAGAGAAAAAAAGAAAGTCTAAAATTTTTTTTTGTTAACAAGTGAATTCGCAGCCATTACTTTTCGGGTGTGCGCAACGTAAAACTCGTTCCAATATAATATTCTGCAAATTACACAGGAGGATAAATCGTACTAAATAAACCCTATGAGACGGACTAAACCGAAGAAGTATGCAAGTGGTTTCCAACCCTAAACCAGTCTAAGAAAAACTTGTACCATTTATTACTAAGCTTTTCCACAATTAGGTAAAATCTCCATATTGTCGTACCTAATGGACCTAATGATCATTAATTTTTATGAAGAGGAAAGAGGCTTCTTTGTGTTTCATTTATTTGCAAGTTTCAATCTTTTAGGTGCCAAAAAGACGTAGGCTTAACAAGTTAGTGGAAATAAATTGAAAATTCACACACTTCTTTTTTTGTTCTTTTTCTCCTGTCTAACTCCATTCAAAAATCATTTGCCTTTTTGCCCCTTATTATTTACGTGACTCAAATTTAATAACTTTAAAATGCTCCGTGTGAGACAAACACGAGAGATCTTATTAAAAGAGGCTATATCGAAGAATATAATACATGTCATCTAATTGTAAGGTCTACTGACTATTTGGTAGAAATGACACCATGTAGCCACTCTAAAAGACTGCTATTTAGATATGCAGTGCGTCCTCAATTTCAGTTTTTCAGTTTAATTTTTTAGGACAAAAATATATTGAGTTGTCCTGAAGTTAAGATTTTAAGTTTAAAATTTCATGACAAAATAAGTACTGAATGACTATCTGTACACTTGCCCCGACTATTTTCTAGAGATCATTACATTAGAAGTTCGGCCTAATTTCGTAATACACAACTTAAGTATAGTCTTTGGTCCAAAAGATTTCTCTATTTTGGGCTTTGATGGTCTAGAATTAGTAAAAATTGCACGGAGCGCCCTATTTGGTCGCTCCCATTTAACCTATACCCATATTTTTAAAATTATTTAACATACACCCTAATTTTTACAACTTCAGGCGCCTCCTTCTTCCTACTACCTGTGCGTTCCTTTCTTCCTCCTTTCTTTTCCTCTTCTTCTTCTTCTTTTCTCTCTTAAACACATGAGACTCTCTGTAAGTATTATTACTTGAATATGAAATACACAGTGATTTAGCACTAAGGTATGAGTTTTGCGTTAAGTACATCTGAAATTTCATTCCCCCAAAAAAGAATTAAAGATGGTTCTTCTTAATGCGGAATTTCCTGATAATTCCATTATAGCAACTGGATCTTAATGACAACTTCTCATTGTTGTTTTAGAACTTCAGCTCTAAGAATGCTGAAGTTCAGCAAATATAAACAAAAATTTCAGCTCCTAGAATGCTGAAGTTCAGCAAATACAAAACAAACTTCAGCCCTGAAGTTCATCACAAACATAACAAAGCTTCAGCTAAAACATGCTGAAGTTCAGCAAATATAGAACAAAACTTCAGCTAAAACATGCTGAAGTTCAGCAAATAGAGAACAAAACTTCAGCTAGTAGAATGCTTAAGTTCAACAATTACAAACAAAAACTTCAGCCAACACTTGGTTCAGTAATTTTTGCTACTTCAGGCCCGTCTACTAGAATGCTGAAGTTTGTATGATTGTATTTGCTACTTCAGGCCCGTATGCCTGAAGTTACGCAAAAAACTTCAGCTAAAACAAGCTGAAGTCCAGCAAATAGAGAACAAAACTTCAGCTACTAGAATGCTTAAGTTCAGCAATTACAAACACAAACTTCAGCCAACACTTGGTTCAGCAATTTTTGCTACTTCAGGCCCGTCTACTAGAATGCTGAAGTTTGCGTGATTGCCTTTACTACTTGAGGCCCGTATGCCTGAAGTTACGCGAAAAGTGAGTACGCTTGCAATTTTTTTTACAAAGAAGGTATAAGTTAAAACGTGACCCAAAAATGGGTATAGATGCAAATGCATGAATATTGACACACCTTAATATAGTTTTTGCAAATACTGGACTTAGTATTTGAATGTGAAATATTTTAAAAAAAACAAACTTATTAGAGGGACATATTAAGTGAAAATAACACATATCAGTCACTATTCTTTTACTTTTTTCCATATGAAATTCATATGCAAAAAAATGTTAAAAGTTGCCGTGAGGCGTTAGTTGTTCAGTTAGAAGTAGATAGCCCAAGTCAATGGTGATCGAAAAACACATTCTTTTGAGTTCTGTTGAAGACATTTAATAATGCATCTATGACAACACAAAGAAGGTAGTGTTTGACCAAAAAAAATTAAGCTTTTTTGTTAAACTAATTAAATGAGAAGATAATGGGAATATCCTAGTTAAACATAATAAATCTTAGATCTGAAATTGATTGATAAGAACAACGTATAATTGCACTTAAACCAATTTAATGCAAATGGGGTGTTTAATGGCACTGTTTTGAATGTATGGGGGGGGGGGGGGGTAATGACAATCAACAAATATATTAAATGGTAATAAATGTAAATAGAGAGAATGATTCACCTAAATATTCAATGTGGTGGATGATTCTCCCTCTGACAATGATGTAAGACAAACAAACGTGGGAATATAGAAAGCTTTCTCGCATCTGATGCGAGAAAGTGTGGGATCAACAGCAAATCGAATCTTTTTGTAAAGACAATGTTGTAATTTACTTCAAAGTCAACTTTTCATGAGAGAAATTATCATATAGAATATTACATACCCCCCCCCCCCCCC